TCTCCTCTTCACATGGTTCCAAAGCCATCATCCAACGACTGGAGGATATGTGGTGACTACAGAGCCATGAACCTCGTCACCAAACCTGATAGATACCCTATCCCACATGTCCAGGACTTCCACCACAAACTCCACGGCAAGATCGAAATGCAGCGTGCCTTCCATCAGATTCCAGTGGCACCTGCAGATATCCAGAAGACTGCCCTCACCACTCCATTCGGTCTCTTCGAGTATGCCTACAGGAGTTTTGGACTATGCAATGCAGCTCAGACCTTCCAGAAGTACATGGACCACATGCTTCGCGACCTCGACTTTGTCACTGTCTACAGGGACGACATTCTCGTCGCATCTCCGATGCCTGCCGAGCATCATCGCCACCTACGGCTCCTCCAACGCCTGCAGAACAACAACATGAAAGTTCATCCCGCCAAGTGCGTCTTCGGAGCCTCCTCCATTGACTTCTTCGGTCACTGCGTCTCGTCGAGCGGCATCCAACCCCTACCACAGAAGGTAACTGCCATTAAGGAGTTCCCCAAACCTGAAACAGCGAAGAAACTCCGAGAATTCCTGGGTTTAGTTAACTACTACCACCGCTTCATTGCCCAGGCTGCTAACATCCTCGCTCCTCTCCACGATCTTCTCAAGGGACTCCCCAAGACATCTCACAAGCCTCTCATATAGACTCAAGATGCTTTTACAGCATTCACCACTATCAAGCAGCACATCACATGCCTTACCCTGCTGGCTCACCCTGCCCCCAACGCCCGGACCACTCTCACAACAGACGCTTCTTCTACTGCCGTCTTACAACAGATCAACGGAACACTCATGCCCATTGCCTTCTCACAGCGGCTTCAACCATATCAACTCAAGTACAGCACCTTCGATCGAGAGCTCCTCGCCATATATCTTTACTAGCAAGCATTTCCAGCACTTCCTCGAGGCCGGTCAGTTCACCATCTTCACTGATCACAAGCCCCTCGTCCACGCCTTCGCTTCAGCCTCCCAGACGCATACACTTCGAGTTCTTCGCCACGTGCTGCCTCTGCCGACTGACCCTTAGCAACTGTTGAGAATGATCAGTTGGTAGAGGCACACAACCCAAACCCCCTCCCCTGCTCAGTACAGTACACTCGGCTGCTGAGGCCGAGAGAGGCTCGAGTGGAAGTATCTCCCCAGCCATATGCTCCTACACTAACTGCATCGTTTTCTTTTTGTTTTTCCCCCCAGCCAACAGCGTAAAGTTGAATGTGCATAAGACGCGACACGACTTTACAGGGTATTTTCCTTCTTTCATATGCCTGAGTATATATACAGTACATGGCTTAAAAGCACAGCGAATGCAACTGAAGTTCATACTTATTATACAGGGATTTACTTTAGTTTATAATCATTATACTGTATCTCTACTGTAAGGTAGCTTTTCTACTATCATTAAACCAATTAATATTTCCACACCCTTACCTTTGCCTGTCTCTCTCAAACATCTACCCAAATCAATTACCTACCAACCCTCTGATAAATAATATACTGTACTACAGTGGGGTATGCTATAACTAACGGATCCTACTACGAATATTCCTATAAACGGTTTTACCTATAAAATTGAGAATGCTATAACGAACGCAACTCCTACAACAAACGCGGATGAATACGAGACTATTTCGTCTGGCGCATGAACATTGTTGTACCACGACCCACAACAAGAGCGTCAGGCGCCATCTTTGTCTCATTGTGTAGCCAGTGCACAAATGTTATTGTTGAAATTTCGTCTTTTGATGTGGAAATAGAGTTATTTATATAAATATATTTTTATACAAGTGTACAATTGTAACAATGAATCGTCCAAAGCGAGTGAGAAAGCCCATAACTCTTGAAACTAAGAAAGAAATCATAAAGAAACTTTGTGATGAATATGGGATGGCTAAATCGACTATATGTACGATTTTGAAGAATGAAGAGGAGTTGAAAACTGTGCAAGTGGCTAAGGGAATTTACTCTTAGTGTGAATAAAGGGGAAAGAAATGGCAGGTGATAGCATGAGTGAAGCTATAACTTATGAGAAGGCCAGACAATTGTTTGAGGACCTTAAAGCCAAGACTCCCAGTGGAAGTGATAGCGATGTGCCAGTGTTTAGGGGTACCAAGGGGTGGTTTACTGGTTTCAGAAGGAGAAATAAATTACAGTGTTGTGACACATGGTGATGCTGCTAGTGCAGATAAGGAAGCAGCTAAGGAACACCATGACACTTTTTTGAATGTGATTAAAGAGGGATGCTTTGTTTCTCAGCAGGTATTCAACTGTGATGAAACTGGACTTTTTTGGAAAAAAATGCCTCGCCATACATACATTACCAGGGAGGAAACTTCTGTCCCTGGCCATAAGCCAATGAGAGACAGGCTTACCCTCCTTTTTTGTGTTAATGCTTCGGGTGACTGCAAAATAAAACCACTCCTTGTGTACCATGCAGAAAACCCCAGAGCTTTCAAAAACATTAGGAAGAACCGCCTTGGTGTTATGTGGCGGTCAAACCCAAAGGCTTCGGTGACCAGGAGTCTTTTCTCTGAGTGGGTGATTGAGGTGTTTGGACCCAGTGTTCGGGAATACCTCAGGGAGAATAATCTTCCACTGAAAGCTTTGTTGGTGATGGACAATGCACCAGCCCCCCACCTAATTTGATGGTTGAATTGTCAGAGGAGTTCAACTTCATCACTGTGCACTTCTTGCCACCCAACACAACACCTCTCATCCAGCCCATGGATCAACAAGTAATTTCTAACTTTAAGAAGCTGTACACAAAGGCACTGTTTAGAAAATGTTTTGCGTCCACTTCTTCCAGTGATCTTAGTTTGAAGGAATTTTGGAAGAGTCACTTCAATATAGCAGACGCTGTGTTTTTAATTGTGTCAGCCTGGAAAGAGGTTTCTATGAGGTGTCTTTGTGCTGCTTGGAGGCCATTGTGGCCTGAATGTGTGCTTCAAAGAGACTTTGAAGAGTTAGAGGAAGAGGCTGTTGTACATGAAATTGTGTGTCTGGACAATTCCATGAGCCTGGAAGTGGATGATGATGATGTTGAGGAGTTGGTGGAAGAGCACAGTAAGGAGCTGTCCACTGAGTAGCTGCTTGAGCTTCACAAAGAAGAAAATGAGACACTGAAGCAGAGCTTAACTTCTGAGGAGTCAGGGGAGGATGAGGACAAGGAGGAAAGCCGCATCATTCCAGCCAAAGATCTCAAGGATGTGTTCTTTTGCTGGAGCAAACTGTCTAAGCTTGCTGAGGATTATCATCCTGATGTTGGTTCTGTGGAAAAGGCCATCAGTGTGTTTAATGACAATGTGATGAACTACTTTTGGAAGGTCCAGAAATCAAGGTTGAAGCAGCCAACCCTGGATTCCTTGTTTAAAAAAGTAGCAAAAGACCCTACAGACAAAGTGCCTGTAAGACAGTCACCAAAGAGGGCTAGGAAGGATGACTCCTCTCCTTCCACCTCTTCTCCATAATTCTCTCCTCCCCCTCCCCCACTGCCTCCTGTCCTGCATGCTGAACAACACTAAGGTAAGATAAAGTACCGTATTTTTTACATTTTCCACAGAAAATTTTCAGTGTTAAGTGGTTGTATTTGGGAGCCTGGGACGGATCAGTCCTATAACGAACGAGGTTCTAGAACCAATTAAGATTCGTTAAAGCATACCCCACTGTATATAATCCACGGTAATCGATATTGGTAATTAAAAACTTCACTTAGTCAAATGTATTTTACTGTTGTTGAAGACATACTGTACTACGGTTTATGACTTATCCCAAGTCATTTGATCACATTGCTACAAGTATAAATCATACAAATTATGATTAACTAAATTAAATCAACTACAGCAATAGTCTTCAATTATGTCTATCAAAATTACCATGCAAGACCAGATATGGATATGCTACTGTATTTACAAATTCCATTTCTTACTCACCCTTCATCAAAAAAATCATGTGCACATAATTTCTAGTCACAATATTTTGAAATTTAATATGAGCATTTAGGCGAGGTATCAATAATGTACAAATTATTGAAATGGATATAATCTAAATTTTTTTTTTAGCAATCAATAAATGTTATACAGTCATCCCTTGGTTATAGCGCACTTGGTTATCGCGATTTTCGTTATCACGCTTCCATCAAAATCTGCACACCTGCCGTTATAGCACATTTTTCAGGCCGAGAATTTGGTTATCACGCATTTGCCTCCAGGTGTAATGTTAACCCCTTGCTTCACCTAAATCTATTGAGGATAAAATCTTTCACCTACAAACTGACAATAACACATCTGCTGTAATCAGACATATCTAGTTGCCTCAACAATTGTAACCCCAGTTGCAATTTCAAATTCTGTGTTATTACTAAGGAATAACGAAGTCTCTCTCTGGTGCACTCTAAGATTGAGAGAAAATGGAGGATTCAGGCGTCCTGAAGCGAGAGAAAACGGACTCCTATGACGGGGGACTCAAATAAAGAAAGCATAGCTATATGTTTTGTGGACTACAGTATTGAGCATACCCTTTTCATCACTTTGTAATAAACCTAGCCATGCCTATGTGTGTTTATGATATTTACCATAACATTATATATATATTTAGTGGGTCTAAATGGTCGTAAAATGGGAAACTTGGGGTTGGGTCTTGGGTGCCTGAAAGCAATTAGAATAAATCCCATAAGTTCTGTACTTTCGTTATAGCGTTTTTCGTTATCACCCACTCGGCGGAGTCCCAATTAAGCATGATAACCAAGGGGTGACTGTACTCTCGGTATTGCAGTCTTATAGATGCCTAAGTTGGAATGAAAAAGTTCTATAAACAAATCCATACGTTACAACACTGAATATGTGGGCTAACTAATGTCTATGTACATAAGTCTCATATTCATCATATCATATACAGTACTGTATGCCATTCTCAGAGCAAATTTCTAATGATAGAAATTTCTGTTAAAAAAAAGAAATTAAAAAAAGACAGAGGTTCACATTTTTTATCTACAATGCATGTGCATAAAATGTTGAAGTGTAAATACACAGTGTCCAATGAACTGCTGGTTAATAATTACATATGATGATTTGTAAAGCTTTACCCATAATTTATGTACAATCTCTATGATAATTATACATCAAAGTATTCATATATTACAAAATGTGAAGGGATGTGCATACTGTACCAAAGATATCGAAAATGACAATTTCTTAAGTATTGACATGTTTCCTATTAATACACCACACACTACACTACACCGAATCATAAAACCATTACTTGGTGAAATTTTAATATTTATGAAAATTTGCACCCATTTTGTATAGGTAATGTGACTAATGAGGCAGATAGTGATCAATAAATATTTATTTTCATTTATCATGAAAAATTTAAGAATAAAATAAATGTTGATGGCAGCATAACTCACTCTTGTTAAGATCTTCCCCATTTCCTCTAAAGCTGATAAACAAGGTATACAATCAGCTTGTTGATTCATTTAATAACTCATTTGCTCTTGCTCTCGGATACACCCATATTGATGCACCATAAAAAGTCAGAGAAAACAATTCAAGAAATGGATAATTATAAATAATAATAAAAAATATTTTCTTCTATACTGTACAAGGGACTGTATATTAGTTCAGAAAATATTAAAGTGGAATAATTTACAAGAAGCTCTTGGCGACATATTTGTCTCAATAATTAAACAATTTCCTTAATACCTCTTGTTAGACAGACATTTAAGAGTGTAAGCATTTTTGTTTTAAGATTTTGCATGCAAATCATGAATATGTCAGGCCTTTATAGGTACTCCTATCAAACCCTTAAATATATACACCAAATAGACTCCTTTGACTAAACAATATAATTTTGAAATAGTGAAGTATTAAATCTTTCTAGTACTGTATTAGTTAGCACACTTCTACCTCCTCCTGGTGTCTACTTGAGTTATAGTAATACCCTAGAGTACTTTTACTGCAATAAATTTAATTAAAATTTTGTAGTTACTAAAAAAAGAGAGAGAGAGAGAGTGACAGCTAAGAGGTTAGGGGTGCTGCAAACATGTCTGATGAAGGAATAGCAAGACCACCATCCAGCATAATTGTGGGGCCAGTATAAGCACGCCACAACATGGAAGATCCTCGTTTCAAGCCACGAACTTGTCGTAAATGACGGTAGCAATCTAGCCAGCCACCGTAGATGGGCATATTCGGGGGAGATCCGGCAACCAATCTGTCGATGATGCATCACATTAAGTAAGAGTTTTATAAAATGAATGCTGATGATCATAAGTATTTTGGTAAGTTTTATACTATGATTTATAATTTGTTTTAAAGGTTAGCAATTTTTTTATAGATAAAACCTGTTTTATGTACACTCACCAAAAACTTTTCAAACGCTATAAGCACTATGCAATCTGAAAAATGAACAAAGAATCTGAAACCATTCTGAGATGACAAACCCTATTCTGCTCATTCTCACATCCATCGTGTCCAGGTGTTCGAGAAGTTTTTGTTGAGTGTACAAGAGAACATGGTAATCAATACAGGAAGTCAACTTCTGACATTGCTTGCCTCTAGTTTATCTTAATATATACAAATTAAGGCAAAAAAATAAAACATTTGTAGGTGTACCTGAAGAGTTCACAACCCATTAACAGTACAGGGAGTCCCCGTGTTATGAACAGGTTCCATTCCTGATGACGTTTTTAAGACGGATTTGTACATAAGTCGGAACACATGCTATGTGTATACTGTACCTACAGAACAATGTCTAAAATCCCACTATATCATCGCTTAAGTACTTATATACATCTAAAATCACTTAATTTAAGACAAAATAAATAGAATGACAAAAAACAGCAAATGAAAGTAAAAAATAAGGCATCAGGTAAATAAAATATGGTAAATTTCAAGTTTAACCCTGTTTGTATTGGCGGGCAATCATAAGACAGACGTTCATAAGTCAGGGACCCCCTGTAATTGTGTATGATAGAATGACTTTGCAGATAAAGACAGACAATTTACAGTGTTCTTGTCTTTCCTAATGGATAAAAAATGCAGACTTTACACTTATGCAGGAAGAGAGTGGGAAGGAAAATAAGTGAGGAAAAGGAAAAGAAATATGACAGAGGGAGGAGAGTGCAAAACTGCTATGACATATTTTAAACATTCAGACATTATACACAACTTACAGCCTCTGTTGTCAAGTTTTTATCTTTGAGGCCATTTCTCAGAACCTCTCCCTATATCATTCTTAGCCTTACCCTACTTCTTCTCCCTTTCACATTCAAATTACTGCATCTCTCGACCAAGCTGATCAAATAACCTTAACCTAGCAACTCCTAAAACAAGGTTTTCTTTCCCCATAGGTAAGGTATAGCAGCAATATTACCATATGCTCATTGGTGTATGAAAATATAAGTCATGCTTTGGAAACTAAAATCTTAATAATAATTGACAACCTTTGACTCAATGACCCAAAATGAGAACGTGTTTTCATCTTCCTTGGAACAAGATATCTATGAAATGTTATTGTTATCTTCCTCTATGCATAACAAATTGAGGTACAGTTAACAGAAACACAAACAGACAACACCATATCATAATATACTCTGCATAATGGGGATGAAAAATTTTATGAGGAAGTCTATTGAGAGAAACAAGATTTACTATTCAAAGGTCTTTAAAGCAGAGTGACAGATTTTGGTGGTACAGTAAAACCTCGATTAACCGACCACATATGGGGGGAAGGGGCCGACGGATAATCCAAAAGGTCGGTTAATAGTACATAAAGTCTACGAAAATAAAACATACATTTTCAAAGTACCTTTCCCTAACCTACCTCATTTAAGTCCCTCTATTCATTTTTGTTCATTTGCCATTCATATTTCAATAGAAGTTGCTTTAAAACATTAATCACTTTAGTAAATAAATATGAACCAGCACAGAAACTGAATAAAAAATGGAAAAGTCAAAGAACAGATGTCATCACAAAAATTGTGACCAAGTCCCAGGTTGCTGATCTGACTTTCTGCCTCATTTACACACAATTGCAGGGTCTCAATTGTTTCTCTTACTATTGACAACACAACATACATACAGGTACATTGTTTCTCACTCTTGATTTTTTTTCATTTTTGCATTTCTTTATGGTTCTTTATTACTACTATTATTAGCATTATCATTATTAATATTATTACATAATCGCCCCCCAGACCCCGATGTGGGTCAGTGGCCTGTGCCCGGGTGGGCTAATCCCCGTTTAAAAAAAAAAAAAAAAAAAATTAGGGGTTCAGGATTGACGGTTAATCCGAAAGTCGGTTAATCGAGGTTTTACTGTAATTAGAAATTGATGCTGAAATACTGTAGTATCTTATAACTCAACATGAATTGGGAAACTCTTCAGCAGTTGGCATAAAAAAGCGAAATCTTTAGTGAAAGATAAAGCTATGAAAGACAAAGCACTCTCACATGCAATGTATGAGATTTCTGTTGGGAGCCTTGTGGTTTATTGTGCAAATGGTCGTTTTCAAAATAACCAGAAAGCGGAATTTTGTGTTTGGATTTTACCCTAATCTAACTCGATGCAAACTAACCTAACCTAACCCAATTGCCAGTAAAATAATATATGTACCATGGGAAGGGGGGGGGGGGGTAATTCACATTTGTATGCAGCACCTGTTTATATATAAGTTGGGCGCAGAAATCGAAAAGCGACCACAATGCGTTGTGGTCATTTTCAAAATAACCAGAAAGGGAAACTTTTCATTTGGATTTTACCCTAACCTACCTAACTCAATCCAAACTAACCTAACCTAACCCAATCGAAACGAAACTAACCCAATCGAAACGAAACTAACCCAATCGAAACGAAACTAACCCAATCCAAACTAAACTACCCTGACCTATGGCAAAATCTCGCTTCTGGTTATTTTCCAAACAACCACAATGCACTATGGTCGCTTTTTGGTTTCTGAGCCCAACATAAATATTAATAAACATGATACAAATTCACAAAACCTCATGATGTTGTTATGAACTTGGCTACATCATCAGGACCTGTAAAATGATCCCAAGTGTTATGAGGGCTCCTTTAGTTGTTTCTTAGTACTGTACTGTATCGTATGCCATGTTCCTCTCTCCATCATGCCTCATTTCAAGATTGCATGTCATATTTTGCATTGCCAAATAAAAGTACAATGAGAATTCACCAAAGTGCAACAACTGCACATTTTGCACACTAATGTAACCAGTATTGTAATCAGAGCCATCCCAAGGTGTGGCAACCGGTGCGACCGCCCCGGGCCCCGCGGTCCTTACCCCACCCAACACGCTGACCTCACCTTACCACCCAGATTCAGGAGACCACCTGAAGGTTAGTGACCAGCACAGTTAGGCAATGCATCTGCTGACATGAGGTCAAAGGTATGATTAAGCCACCCCATCTTACCACCCAGACTGAGAACAATGTCATTCTTTGCTGTGCTCTCTGTCGAAGAGGAGTGAGGATGTTGACAGCGGTCATCTGTCAGTGTTGTCCAAACTCTGAATCTCCAGTTGTCCGTGATTTGTGTTTTGTGAAATTATTGATATACATTATTTTATTATTGTACTCAGCCTTCGTTTTTTATTATACCATGGCCAGCGGGGGGCAGAGAAAGATACAGAAAATACATCTCGGGTGCAGAAAAAATGGCAGAGAAAAGAAATCGAAATATCAATGAAAGTTTCCCAAGAAAAATGTGTTTTCAAAAACACCAGAAACTAGTGCAAAAAAGGACCTGAGCAACTGTGATGGTGATAGTGGGTCATATTCAAGCTGAGGAAGAGGAGAGTACTGAAAAAAATACTAAGGCATTGAAAATGGACAGTTCTAACTATGTTAACGGTCATGCTGATGAAGATTTGTGTGATCCAGCCAACTGGCCACATTTACTGGACACTATAACAATTGATATTTTGGTAGAAAATGGACCTGTTAAGGTATCTAGTAAAAATTATGTGTTTCCAAAAAATGGTGAAAATCAATACTTTTCAGAAGACTTTTACATGGGAAGATTGCCAAATGGGGAAATATATGAAAGATGTTATAACATAGTAAATTACATAATACTTGGCATAACAATAGTATGATTGGGGAATTAACAATATGCATATTACAGTATGTATGTACTGTATGTAACTATAAAAATATAAATACATTTTAACCTGCAAAGGGGCCCCACAGTGGATGAATTGCCCAGGGCCCCGCACCCCCCTAGGGACGGCTCTCATTGTAATGATTACATTATTATGTATCCTTTCACATTAATAATTTATGTCCAATTGAAATAAAAACTGTTGCTGTAATTTGCCTTAACTTCTATCTAAGAAATATTTGGTAATGCTGTACTGTACTATTCAGATAAAGATCAAAGCCAAACACCATTGATAAAAGTAGTTGAGTGATTGTTTAGACAATATGTATGCTAATCTGGTATTCTTATTTATTGTTTATGCACAGAAAAAACAATGCAAAGAAAATTTTTGTCAAACAGTACAAGTCATCCAACATTAATGAACACAAGTTTGGGGCAACCAAATGTTATAGACTCCACAGTATTTGCTGAAATGAGACCTTCAGCTCAAATGTCACAATACAATTTTTTTTTCTGACCATACAATCAACATGTCTACATGTTTGAAAATCCAGGGTTCCTAATAGCTACAACATAAGTAAAGGGAACTAAAATACAAAAAATGGTACATCAACCAACACAGCCTGGTCCCAAAAAGAGGTATAGTATTTGCTTTAAGACGACTGGAGTCCCCTAAAACCCTTTTAAGATAACAGAAAATAAGCAAAGGATAACACATAAAATGACAATGCATGCTATTCTACCCTGAAGATTCTTTGTAATATGAAGAGAAAACTTACCCGCTCCCTGACACAGCCATACAGTTAGACACAACCTGGAGTGGATATGTCATTGCAGAAGCCAGGAACTGCAAATAAAAATATAAAAGAACTATTATGACAGTATGAATACCTTATACAGTACAGGTTGGACCCCGCTAATCAGGGACTCAATAGTCTGGCAGCTTTGATGGTTTGGGATGCATATAGTGTGTACTTAATCTTATGGGGAAAATTAGGATATGTTCCACCACAACTAAAAGTCAACACTATTGCTATAAAAGTTGTATAAAAATCATTACAATTATCACAGCCTGTACTCAAACATACTAAGTTAATTACTAAAATTTCTATGTCTAGTGCCAACTATGGGATGTTTATACTCAAATTACTTGCAATCTTGCAAGAATTCCAGCAATGCAAGTTATATTCTGCTGAGCCAACTCACTGATATTTTATAAGTGAAAATTTTAAACTCCCTCTATTGTATAATCCTGAGTCCCTGACCCCTCCACTGATAACTATGCACCCGTTAGTCTCCCATACAGGCTGCCAACACCTCACCTCCCCCTCCTCCCAGCCAGAAGGCGATAAGGATTTTAGAGGTGAAGGTGGCTTTAGCCTTAAAGTTTTCTCTTATAAAATGTCACTGACTTGACTAATCAGAATACAACTTGCATTACAAGAATTCTTGCAAGATACCGATTAATTTGAGTATAAACATCCCATAGTTTGCACACAATAAAAATTTTAGTACAGTAATATGTTGCTCAACATTATGGCTTTTTCACAGGGAAAAGTTTATATAACTAACCACAGTAGTCAGGATATTATGGCATTGAATGTTACAGAGTACAGGTTGGCAATCCCTTATCCGAAATCCTTGGGGCCAGAGGCATTTCGGTATTTTTCGGTTTTCAGAATGGTTAGTTTTTTTTTTTTTTTTAGCCCACCCGGACATAGATCACTGACCCACATTAGGGCCTGGGGGGCGAAAATATAAAAAAAATTTATAAAAATAATAATAATAATTCATAGGTCTAGGTCGTGTTTCTCACTTTTGATCTTTTTTTCATTCTTGTATTTCTTTATTATTATTATTATTAAATCTATTATTATATTTTATTATTATTATTATTATTATTATTATTATTTTATTTTGGTGTATTTTTATTAAAATTTTTATTTACTATGAATAATTATTACAGTGGTCCCCTCGGTTAACGAGCGCCTCGGTTAACGAGATTTCGGTTAACGGTTTACCTTCCATAAGATTCTTAACTTCGGTTAACGAGTTTTTTACGAGCCGACTTCAACATGTTTTCGCTTGCATTTGGCGGTCCACCAGCTGTAGTATTCGTCCGCCAATACAGTAATCGGTTTTAGGGCTTAAATTCCTTACTATTTTAGTAAATATCAAGAAGTTTATACTATTCAATAATTTTAAAAGTTTACTATTTACTTTTTTAGTCATTTTAACAATTACACCGTCAACAAAATTTTTCTGGCACAAGGTTTTTAAACGGATTTTAAGTAAATTTGGGGTGCAGAATCCAAATATGACTTTGGTTTTTGTCTATCACATCAGGTTTTTGAGATATACCATATTGCACTTTTGCTGGGAAACGTAAACTTTTGGATCAAAATTGACGGTTTAAACATGTATACATCAATTTTTTCAGCATTATAATTTGTATTTTTCTATAACCAAAAATTGTTAATATCAAATTGGAAAGTTAATGCACATATAAGATTTAAATGTAACATTGAAGGGTGAAAAAAAAAATTAATGTACGGTAGAAATAGTGCAAGTATTAAGATCAAGTTACAGTTACATAAACTTCCTCTTTTTGGCCGATCTCTTATGTACAGCTTCTGGAATGTCTCTCATCAAACTCCAGCAATAGTCCGCCATCATGTTCGAGTCCCATCGACCTTGGTAACGTTCTTCCATTACTTTAATGTCTTGATGAAAGCGCTCCCCTTGCTCCTCGCTCACTTCTCCCAGATTTTCTGGAAACTCGTCCAAGTGACTGTGTAAGTAGTGAACCTTGATACTCATTCTGCATCCAAGTGCTTGTAAACTCAAGAGCAGCTCTTCCACAATTTCTTGATAGTTGTCCGCTTTCTTGTTCCCTAAGAAGTTCCGCACCACATTAGAGAAAGCATTCCAAGTTCTTGCCTGTGCCTCAGTCATTGTTGCAAGGAAGTGTGGATCTCTGAGTAGTGTTCTTATTTGAGGTCCATCAAAAATCCCTACCTTTTTCTTCTCGTCGCTAAGACTTGGAAAGGTTGAGCATATATATCTGAAACACTCTCCACTATGATCAAGAGCCTTGACGAATTGCTTCATGATACCAAGTTTTATGTGCAGAGGAGGAAGGACAATGTTTGTCCTGTCAACCAGAGGATCGTTAATGATATTCTTGTCACCAGGCGTCAAACTATGTCTTGGTGGCCAATTCTTTTTCACCCAATGGTCTGCTGTAGCCCTGCTGTCCAAGTAGCACAGAAAACAGGGGTATTTTGTGTACCCTCCTTGCTGGCCCAATAGAAAGTTTACCATTTTCAAGTCCACACAAATTAACCATTCATGAGCATGGTATTGCAACCTCTCTAGAACAGTCTTAATGTTTCATACTCTTCTTTAATTTGTACAGAATGTCCGATTGGAATTGAACCATACTTGTTTCCGTTATGAAGAAGAACACATTTCAAGCTCCTTTTAGAACTGTCAATAAAAAGTCTCCAATCCTTACTATCATATGCTGGTAGTCCCATGGAGAGAAGAAGTCCTTCTACATCATTACAAAAAACAAGCTGGTCATATGAATGAAAGTACTTCCGCAGTTGCTCTTCTCTGTTGCGATAAAAGGAGACACTCGTGCAAGGTTTTAAGAGCCGTTTCTCTTGAAGCCTGGAAGCTAACAATTCAGCAGACTGTTTTGGCAAATTTAGATCTCTGACCAGATCATTCAATTCTGACTGAGTAAACAACGTTGGCTTTTCACAATCTTCACCAGATGGCTTGAAAAGATCAGTCTCTTCATCTTCATCAGTAGAAACAGGTGAATTCGGTCTATATCCTCAATCTCTGGTAGCTCAGTAAATTCTGGCACGTGATGATGACCAAATCTGAGATCAGATTTTGATTCAGCACCTTAAAGTTAGTAAAAACAGTTGGTTTCATGCCAGAAAAAAAAAAATTTTTTTGTAGACCAGTGTTATTGAACATAATTGAAGGTAAAGAAACTAGTTTGCATGCCATCCAGCCTGAACACACCAGACAGGCTGTTAGTCTCTTCTGTTTTCAGTGGAGGAAACATCTTGCTTGAGACTCTTCAACTAAATGCTTTTTTTCTGTGTTTCCAAGCAAATTATTGGTCATTTTGAAATATATTTTACATATTGACAATATATAATGCAGTGCAGTGTTGATTTAAAGAAAATAATCTTGAAATACACCAAGAGAACTAAAATTTTATGGGTGAAATGGTGCCAGGGGTGACTCCCTTTCCACCCCATGCCTTCTCTTCTTCCTTCCTCCACCCCCATTCTAATTCCCATCATCATCATCCAGGAGCCTTCTACATACACACCTCAAAGTAAGTGTAATTTTTCACCTTTTTGTTGAATTTAGAATTTTCGGTGAGCTGAACCACTACCCAAAAACCCATTGAAACAATGGTTTCGTTAATCTAGTTTTTTCGTTAACGAGCAACCTGCTGGAACGGATTGTGCTCGTTAACCGAGGGACCACTGTATAATTATTATTACTATAACATTCCCCCAGGTTCTGATGTGGGTCAGTGATCTATGCCCGTGGGCTAATCCCAGGTTATATATATATATACAGACAGACCCGACTTACGACTGCTACGATTACGACCGTCGGGACTTACGACCACGAGATTAAAAAAAAAAAAAAAAAAAATTATTTTTTTTTTTAAATGACACGCATTTTCTATACCGAAAGTTTCCAGTTAATGTAGTCTCCATGTATAATTAGAAAATTATGGCATCCCCATGTGCATTCAGCTGACTACATTAAAGGTAAGTGCTGAGTCACACTGTAACCATTCCTTATTATTTATTACTTTCACTGTACTGTATCCATTCCTCATTATTCATTACATTTTACTGTACTGTATTTCATTGTAGATTATTAAAAAAAAAAAAAAAAAAAAAAAAATTATCTATGTCGGATTCTAATGCACCTGGATTTGGGTCCCTAACCCCGTCAGAAGTAAACAACATAACATATGGGATTAATTGAAATGGAGTCAGCGCCCATCCCCAAACTCCACTTTTTGACGACACAACTATGTTGAGTAAAAATATTATCTTAACTCTTATGATGGCATGCACACACAATTAATAATTAAGAGAAATATCAATAATCTTAGGTTTTTAACACTTACATTAGTAGAAAAGATGGTTGGGCACACGGGATGGGGGTTGGTTCCAGGCAGAGGACAGATTATTGCCCTCACCTGTATCACTGGCAATTGTATCACTATCCACCACAGAGGCTTGCAGGGCCTCTTGTTAAACCTCAAAGTCCATATAAGTCCATATCCTCACTATAATTATCACTATCACTGACTTGGGCCGGTTGTGGTGGGTGGCGGTAAAGAACTGGTAATGTTTTGATGACTGCTTAACGAAACCTTACTCGCCTACATCAACATGGCGGATGGCGGAGGTTGGATCCAAAATGGCGCTGCTTTGCCAGCCGCCTCCGCGTAATGGGGTCACGACAAGGAATGTGAGCATGTTTGGTTCTGGCAAGGCACCGGCAACGTGAAACGCGAATGCGGACCGCTGAATGTGAGAGATTGAGTATATATATATATATATATATATATATATATATATATATATATATATATATATATATATATATATATATATATATATATATATATATATATATATATATATATATATATATATATATATATATATATATATATATATATATATATATATATATATATATATATATATATATATATATATATATATATATATATATATATATATATATATATATATATATATATATATATATATATATATATATATA